TTTAACAAATTCAAAAATATCTCGATATTTTTATTTGAAAAAGATCGGTATTCATAGGTAGTGTTTTGGTGGGGGTGACGATTCGTGAGTAATTCAACTAACTGTAACGTGTGATCTGATAATCCGTTCTCCACAACAGCTTTATTCGTAATTTGGATATCTGGATTTGCAAAAATGTAATCGATTGCAGTAGCGCTTCGTTTTGTAAATCTGGTTGCTTCAGTGAAAATGGTTTCTAAGCAGTATGAATTTGTAAGATCGAATAGAGCTGTTTTGCCTTTGGATTCTCTGTTAGAAAATTTATGTTAAAGTCCCCGCACAGAATTATGTTGTACGACGGATATTTGTTGGTTATATGTTTTACTACAGGAATCTACCGCATAAATTTACCCACGGGTTAAAATAAGAGCGGAATATCTGGACTGGAATGTGGACTATTATTACATTACATTAAAATGAGAGAGACACAAATAAATTTATACAGTGCTATATTTATTAAGAAGTAGACATAGGAATTTATGTATATTGTTTTTTCCCTATATCTACTTTCAAAAGACAAAATCTCTTCGCCTAATTTTATGCAACCAAAATAACATCAATTAATTTGAATATTGGTGCTTTGACTACTGTATTTTTATTTTCGTTCAACTAAAGAATATTGTCAATTGGTATAGTGCCGGTAACAGTTTAAGGAGCGTAGATTTACTTTCTGTTAAGTCAAGGCAACAATATTCAAACTAATTAATATGGCAGCCAGATGCTTATTTGTTTTAAAAAGTTATTTTGGAAGCCTAAAATTAGGCGCCCTTCAGAAGAGATTTTAACTTTTGAAAATTGACATAGGGAAAAACAATATACATAAATCCCTATGTCTACTGTTTAATAGCACTCTATAAAATTTGCCATAAAAACTCCACGACGGCACATGTCCATCTTGAACCGTTAACAAATTATTTATACAGGATGTGACTTTTTCTTCACTATCTAAACGGACGTGTTTTTGCAATTTTTGCTTCTTTTATGAGTATGCGATTATGAATTTGGATTGGTGATTTGAAGTGAAAGCGCTATAACTACGAGTATACCTATATGCAGAATACAACTAAAATTAATAAAGGGGTTTGGGTCTGATTCATCACATACCAGTTAGCAATATGAGATAAGAAATTGTATGGAAACGGAGCGGGCATTAGGTGTTCAACTATGAACGATTAAAGTGTGCTCGCGCGCACGGTGAAATTATGGAAACTGGTAGTAAGTAACTTTTAAAATAATAGGTATAGATACCAACAAACGGAAGTACCAATTTTACTGAAATCAAATTAACGAAAGATTAGATTATTAACTTATTATACAGTATGTCCCCAGATTGAGTTCACTATATCTGTGATTGATCAAAAATTTTTGAATCTCGTTTTGAAGTTTTGGAATCCCAGCCTGCTTGGTCTGAAAAGAATTTTAAGCTCATTTTTACTTTTTTAAATCCAAGATGGACATGACAATTGAGAAAGAATAATTTTATGTTGAGGTAAAGTGCCATTTCGGTCAATAATACGGCAAGCTGTTAGTCAGAACACTTGTTTAGAATATGAAACTTCACAAATATCGGTATCACTTTGATTAAATCAGTATTTGATTTGTATAGTCTTCCATAGCAACCACAGAAACAATTCTGTGTAAATAAAAGTATAAAACAAATGAATTATTATTAGATACCTGTGATTAAAAATTAAAGTGACATCTTGTGACATCTAAAACAATCTGTATTAGACAATTCTAATTGTTTTCACTGTGGAAGAGCGGCAGTGAGGGAATACATCGCGAAGGTTCCCTGATCGAAGAATTCCTACCTAATAGGATATTTTAAACCAGAACGTTAATTAAATTGGTGTCAAAAATAAAAAAATTCTTAATTGCAACTTTATTCAACAAGCTTTTTACTTTATTCTACCCACTCTGTTAAATTCAATATTGGCCATAACATCTTAACTATTGATTTTTGGACAAAGTGTATAAGGAAATTTTGAGGAATATGGTGTTAAGCTTGTCATTCGAGTCACGGGACACCCTATATATAGAAACACATAAGCACTCTTAAATAGGGCTACGAAAAATAATCCATATAGGTATCGATAATCATCCGAACAACCGGGGTGATTTCGGGTTACCTCTTGCGTATGAGGTGCATGCTTTGCTGTGGTAGACCTTTAAAGCTGATTTAAAATGTATCGCCTTAGGAAAATCATCCTCCGGTCCATACAAACCAACATCTGCTAATTAAATAGGCTTAGACAATGAGCCTATTTCGGTTAAACTATTTTCAATTTTATACAATTTTCGCTTTTACATTTTTTTTAAACTGCGAAATTTGGTATGAAAGCAGGACACTTTGTACGAATTTTTTGACAGTTTTAACATGTTAAGTAAGGTCTATGTACACCATTTTGGCAAATCTTGAAATTATCTGGCCACCTCGTTTTTCTTATACAATCAATTAATCTTACTTTATGAAGAAGTATAATTTTCAAAAATTTTGGAAAACTCAAATCAACCGTTCGAGTTAGTCTCACATCAAATTGATTGAAAAATTTCAAGGTAGTATGGGGCAGCTTGTCATTATCTCTGTCTACGACTATAAGTGTGTCTCGCTGATCTAACCCATATAGTACAGTAACATTAGATCAGTTATTGTCTTCCAAACCCGGACCACCGGACCTTTGGAACACCTTCCATGATAACGCTGTAAAAAGTCCTAATTGTCCTACGACTTCCCTAGTGCAGTGGTCGGCAACCTGCAGCTCATGCGGCTCTTTTGATATAAACTTGCAGCTCTCCGCATTTATTAAAAAAAATCTTTTTCGAAATTCACCTTAAAAATTAACCATTAATCTCATTTTATTACGAAATACAGAAACTACACTTGCAACAAATAATTCACTTGTGACACTTGTTTACTTTCTGGCATTCTTTTGTCTTTTATTATCACAGCCTACTTCGGTGTATAAACATTGTATAGGTAATTGATTAATGGCATTGTTTAAATAGAAACAATGTTAATGGGTAGGTGGGTTTTGTGGGAAAATATCGAATAACTTAAAAACCTCGGGGTTGAAGAGAACAAAAGACAATCAAATATAGAAATAAAATATTGGTAGATCCATTTGAAAAAGAATAGTATGGCACTTTGAAATTTGACCATTTTCTTGTGAACACCCAACAATCCAACTTTCTCATTATCAAACCGTTGCCCTTTAGTCGGGTTAACATTATTGATCAAATGTATTTCTTAACTTCAAAATCAAGATTCGTCAAAGAAAGGATTGCTTATATGGGGAATTATTCATCAGAAAAAAAATTAATAAGATGACCAAAAATCGAAAAAATGAGTAGGTTTCCATGTAGAAGTTAACAATTAATGACATTATTGAAACAATAAAAATAAACCTCAGGGTGTTTCATTTAAAAAAATCAGTTATTTATTCACACCGTAAAAATAGGACACCCTGTAAATTCAAAAATAATTTCTGTAGATACCCAACAATCTATAGACACAAAAGATTTTTTTTAGATATTTGACAAGGTATGACGCTAGGAAAGACCAACGTACTGTTGCAAGACGCTATACACGGTGTCCATTTTTCGAGTGCCACTATGGGGATCTCGCTTACCTGAAGAAATAGAGAGTTGGTTAAATGGGGGCAAAGTTGCGAATTTTCGTGCTGAATAATAATCTGAAAAGAAATTAAAAATATCTTTAGTAGTTTTGACAATATCGCAAAAAAACATTATTCAGACACTTTTTAATTTTTCGGGAAGAGTGCTTTGGAAAAACAAAACGTTCTTTTATCGTGAACAAAAGTATGACAGTTTGATCCATCTGTCTGGTTAGAGCGTTGGCAGGGAACTACACTACTTGAAATAAGTCAACCTTTTGTTCACAACAAAAGAACGTTTTGTTTTTCCAAAGCACTCTTCGCAGAAAATTAAAATTGTAATTTTAGGAAAAATGTGTTACTGAACCACCATGTGTGATATATCGTTGTAAAGAGAAAAAAAGACGTAATCTCAAAATGTCAAAATTAAAAACGGCGCCCATAAGAAAAATTCAATTTGCCACCTGTTTCTCCGTCATCTTAAAAGTTATTGAAAACGGGATGCCATATTCGAAATTTCCATTAAAAAGTGTCTGAATAATGTGTTAATTAGAAATGTCTAGAACGATTAGTTTACTATGAAAAAATTAAAAACGAAAATCAGAAATTTTCTTTTTTTTGCGATATTTTCAAAACTATTGAAGATATTTTAAATTTCTTGTCAGATTATTATTCAACACGAAAATTCGCAACTTTGCCCTCATTTAACCAAATGTCTATCTCTTAAGATAAGCGAGATCCCCATAGTGGCACTCGAAAAATGGACACCGTGTATATAACCAAATACGATACTATTGAATCGAAAATTTTTAGTGGCTCTTTAAGAACTGGGAAATGTTGTAAATTGTAACTTTTGGCTCTTTCAGTTCCCAACCCCTACCCCAGTGGCTAGTAGTTGGGATAGCCGTAGTAGAATTTGAAGAAAATTTCGGGCTTAAAATCGTACCCCCTTGAACGGGTTCTCACGTTGTTGTGGGGGGGGGGGGGGCACGTGGATTGGTGACAATCATTGTATCGAAAAACTTACACTAAGCGTCCAAAGACACCTGAACTAAGTGCAGAAGGCAACTCTATTGTTTGTTATGCGATCGATTGGTGGATGTTCACCCAAACCGTGTGCCTTTCTGTCAGGTGGGGATTTTAAAAATAATACGGAGCATTTTGTTCGTGTCTTCCTTCCCAAGGTGTCTAGTGGACAGGGCAGAAAAAGCCAGGTAGCACAAAGCGTAGGTTTTGATAAAGTACTGGACTGGTACAGTAAAAGAAACGCGGACACTCAAACGGAGAGGCCGAGGCTCTTGTCTTTTCCCGTTCATATTTGGTTTGAAACTATTCCTACTCCTACTACAAATTAGTTTTTTGCGTAGGTACAATGAAGCAGGGAAGGCCTTTACATGCAGACAAACCCGTAACGCGACCGTCTTCCGACAGCGGGGCTACCTACCTCTGCAGAAACTGAACCAAAAACGGCTATCTTTCTATACAACAGTACCTATATATCGAAGATCACACCGAATATTCCAAACTACTTGCTGTGGATATGACATATATTAATGTAGACTACAACAAGATTTGGTGGGTTCTCTTCACTTCCTGTGGGCCTATCTGGACTGTGGATCCAGGATGGAGTGGATACATGGCGGTTGCCCATCATTCTCCGCCATATAAAATGTCCTGTGATTCCAGCAATGCCTTTCATTAACCTCAACCGCTTATGGCAAACAAGGTTTTCAAGGAATCTTATATATAGGTAGGTACTCAATAAAAAAACCTGTGCAGTACTGCACAGCCAGATATGTTAAGCATGAATATAATGAATCAAAGCCTTACTGCTAGACAATGCCTTCTATTCAATTGAAGAATTCTTGGAAGCGAATAATATTTCATAGTTTGTACCAGTTTTGTAACCGTTTGTCTCTTTTTCTCGTTATATTACTTTGTTATTTACCTTATTGTTTTTTTTTGTTAATACCTACTTGATTAATCATATTATGTTAATTTTGACGAGTGTAAATCGCAGTGATATTAGCACAAATAGGTACCTACATATTATTATTATTACAATACACATCATGGGCTTAAATCTAACCAGGGACGTAGAACCCAAAAAAAGCATAAGAATCGAAAAGAAGTTATCAAAGTAGCTAATTCCTTAACTATTTTAAGCTCGTTCCAGGTAAATTCCAGGAAACTAAAAATATTTAACGTCAAGATATATTAAGAACAATAGAAAGTCGTTTAATATTTAAAAATGGCGTCCTGCCATCGCTCAAAAAGTCAAAACCCATTCCAGCTTTTCCCTAGGAAAATTCCAGTTCTTCCAGATTTTTTTGACAGATGTCTTGTACATATGTAAAAAATGTGACTGAATGAAAAAAAAAATTGCTTAGTAATTTCATACTTGAAATTCCACTCTTTCTAGAATACCCCACTAGGGGGCTGGGGGACTTTTTATGGAGCGTCATCCTGGAAACATGTTCCAAAAGGTACCTAATTTTACTGTAGTAATACCTAATGTGATCTCTGGACCGGGCATAGCTTTTGTATCGGGTCTTGTGCAATACAATATATTGCGCAATGTTTTCTTTAAAAAATCGTTTTTCCATGTGCAGGGTGGTCATGTACCCCTTGACTATAGCCAACAGCAACTGATAAGCCCGACATTTGTATCACTACTGAAGAAATAATCTTGTCTCCTTTCGGCAAATTTAAGATATTAGCTTATTGAGCAGTCTTTTTTTTGAGAGACTTTGTAAGTTCACAACCCGACTTCTGCTTCTGAGGTAAGTCCTCGAAAACTAGGTTTAGGTAGGGCATTTGAATATAATAAATTAACCAATGGTTAACATGAGGAAGTGTAAACTGAACGACAGTAACGGATCAGAAATTATAATTATCAGTAAATAAGAACTTTCTGCAAATACATACCAAAAACAATTCAATAGCAGAACAAAAGTGTAGCTCCTTGTAAATGATAAAATGTCTAAATACAGAAATGTATAAATTTCTACATATAAACTCACATAACTCTTATTTATCAATGTTCAGACCTTATTTTAAAGGCAGGAATTTGATAATGTAAGCCTCATTCAACAAACTTCATTGCTCGTGAGAGCGACACTTCACATTTACAAAACAGAGAAAATGCACTTACATTTCACTTAAAACTAGAATAACTTAATATAATACTTTGTACAACGCACATGAAAAAAAGTTTAATAAACTACAATGTTCTCCTGCCGAGTGTTGCTAGTAAACTGCCGACTATATCAGCAGTACGCATATACATTTCGAGTAGGGATCGTCCCTTTATTTTAAAACGAAATCCATTCGAAAGCTCTTGCGCAGATTCAACCCTATTTTTTAGATAATTTAATACACAAAACCCTTTTTTTACTTTAGGGAACAAACCCTTTTAAGTTTTCCCCTTTCATACAAGGGTTCATTCAGATTGGAGGAGGATGGTCGTGGCAGGGAGTGCGTCGATGTTTCGTTTCACCATTCCGCTTATATACTCGCACTAATTTGCATGTACACCTAACACAGTGCTTCTCTCCTCGCAGCTTATGTTGTTTTTGTTGTAATGCTAAAAAGACACTTGTAAAGTCACAATGGAACACAATTAATCAGAGTTAAAAAACTCGCACCTTTTAAAGCGTTTTCACCCCTTTTTTTAGCAGATGTTCAAAGGGTGGGTAAACAATAAAAAGGGTTGAAACATTATGATGTACTTTCATTGGCACCCCTTTTCAAGCCATTCCACAATCTAAGTAAATGTTTACCTATAAAACATGAAGTACTTTAGTTGTAATTTTATTCCTAAATTATATAAATAATTACCGAGCAAAAATAAGTTATTTAATAAACATTATGAGCATAACCTCCAAAACACTATTGAGTTTAGTGGTTGTGATAGAGGCATATTGATACCACAGATCCAGAAGGATAAATGCCAGTACTATATTACATTTTCAACGTTAGATGTCGCACAAACATAAATGTTGTCCCTTGTATATAATTGGTAGAATGATCTTGGAACCGATTGTAGATCTTTGAGTGATACATTTTTAATAATTGTCTCAAAATTACTTTAAGGTGCGAATATGTAAATATAATAGCAATTAAAGCTTGATTTCTTCCTGATCTGACAACCTGCTCAGTACAGGGAATAGGAATCTCCAATTAACTTGGTTAAATACAACAACTTTCAGGTCATCATCAAAAGCAAATCTTAGGTCTCCTAAGTGATTTTCAACTGTTTGAACTTGCAGGCACCGGTAGCAGTATATGGTTTTCCCACAAAAACCTTTGAAATGGTTTCTTTATAAACATCGCTGTTTGTTGTAGTGCCTTTTTTCATTGTACTTAACAATCCCAATTATTTATTGCATTGTTAAGAGTGTCTGTACTTCTAGTCCAACATTCTACGCCAATGGATTGTGGGTGAAATGAAAGATGATGGATACACAGTGAACCACTTGGCTGCCTTTGAACAATCGTGTGGAGGTGGCGGCGGTACAGTTGGTCCTTCATGGATGTAGGTACAGAATTTGAACTGCTCCCTCTGGCTGTCGGACCCCAACAACACACGCACATTATTTGAGTAAGTATCCACAATCTGATCCGCCCCATCTATCTAATTTGTAACCAACAGTTTCTCGTCGAAGAGTCCACCAAGGACTTCCATCCAAAGGTGAAGAGAAACGCTCGGCGCTTATCAATTGTATAAAAGTAAGTTTCATAAAATATCTATACCTATACTGTCTGAAGAGCTACTTTTTTGCTTATACTGTGCCTATATGTATAGGTGCTTCACACCAATTTTTGTACTACCTATTCTCACTTAGAGTATGCAATCCCGCAGCAAAATTTATATCCTGGTAGATATACCTATTTGCGGGATCAATATATTTAATCCCGCGAGAATTTTGAATATATTTGGAAATAAGTAATTGGGGTGCGGTTAACCGTATACTTTCGAACAACACGCATCGTATTTCGCGAAAAAACGCGTCACATCCGAGATTATGGATTCTACAGGCCACATTCTATAAGAAAATGTTTTTTCCTGGTCGATCTCAGACAATTTTTTTTCGGGCCTCAAAAAAAGGACCTTCATTTTTTACCAAAAATCGACCACACCAAATTTCTCGGGAAAACACTTTTTCTTATTAATTTTGGTGCGTAGAATCCAAAACAATTCGTACTTTTTCGATCAGACTTCTCCATCAAAAGTTATAGACTAGAAACCAATTTCGAAAGAAAATTCAAAGAGCTGTAACTTTTGAACTAGTAGCCCAATCTTGGAACTGTTTGAAATTATGGATTCTACAGGCCACATTCTATAAGAAAATTTTTTTCCGGGGCGATCTGAGACAATTTTTTTTTCGGGGCTCAAAAAAAGGCAGTGTATAACCTTCCTTTTTTACCAAAAATCGACTGCACCAAAAATTCTCGGGAAAACACTTTTTCTTATTAATTTTGGTGCGTAGAATCCAAAACAATTCGTACTTTTTCGATCAGACTTCTCAATCAAAAGTTATAGACTAGAAACCAATTTCGAATGAAAATTCAAAGGGCTGTACCTTTTGAACTAGTAGCCCAATCTTGGAACTGTTTAAAATTATGGATTCTACAGGCGATGTTCTATAAGAAAAATTTTTTTCCGGTACGATCTGAGACAATTTTTTTTTTCGAGACAAAAAAAAGGCAGTGTATAACCTTCCTTCTTTCCAAAAATCGACTGCACCAAAATTTCTCGGGAAAACACTTTTTCTTATTAACTTTGGTGCGTAGAATCCAAAACAATTCATACTTTTTCGATCAGAACTCTCAATAAAAAGTTATAGACTAGAAACCAATTTCGAATGAAAATTCAAAGGGCTGTAAGTTTTGAACTAGTAGCCCAATCTTGGAACTGTTTGAAATTAAGGATTCTACAGGCCAAATTCAACTGATTTGATGTGATTTATTTCATTAACATCTCAGCTCTTTTGGGATACATAGGTACTTACCCATCAAAAGATCTTTTTTAATTCAACTTCACTTTTTAGGCGGTCTCAAGCAGTAAGTACCTACCTCCATCGCCAGCTATCTAAAACGACGACACTTTTCCGATGCGAAGACCGAAGGAACTAGTCACCTCTGCAATTCTTAGGTAGGACAATGAAATCCTGTCTACACGCGTTTACTGGATAATCTTATTGTTGTAGGGATGAGTACTATTCACCATCACAACTTCGAATTTGGCGCTGTCATCATCATCATTCCGGTCCATCCGTCATCCAGATTTACTCTGACTATGGTGTTCACTAGTAACTTCAATTTCCATTTGTGCATGCATAAGTTATTTATTTTTTAAGTTATCACTGTTACAAGAAGATCTTTGTAATACAAAAAAAGAAACCTATTTCCTTTGTTCACCTCTAGAATAATATTGTACTGCCCTGACTGAACTTTGCTGGCGGCTGGATATTTTTTTAATTAACAAGATAATCTATATTTAAACTTTATTAAATAAAAATTCGAAAAATTTGATTTTCAAAATGTAACTATTGAAAAATAGAATAAAAACGTTTAAAATTTTTTGTTTTTTTAAACATTCCCTCTTTTGAATTCAAAAAACTTTTTTGACTCTTTTTTGAATTCAAAAAACTTTTTTGACATCTTTTTTGAATTCAAAAAACTTTTTTGAATCACTTGAATTCAAAAAATTTTGAATCACTTTTTTGAATCACTCCTAACTTTTTTGAATCACTTTTTTGAATCACCCCTAACTTTTTTGAATCACTTTTTTGAATCACTCTTAACTTTTTTGAATCACTTTTTTTTTTTGAATCACTTTTTTGAATCACTCCTAACTTTTTTGAATCACTCCTAACTTTTTTGAATCACTCCTAACTTTTTTGAATCACTCCTAACTTTTTTGAATCACTCCTAACTTTTTTGAATCACTTTTTTTAATTTCTCTTAAAATCTCTTATAAGCTTCTCTCGCTTGATACTTGATACTTGATACTTGATACTTGATACTTGATACTTGATACTTGATACTTGATACTTGATACTTGATACTTGATACTTGATACTTGATACTTGGTACTTGATACTTGATACTTGATACTTGATACTTGATACTTGATACTTGATACTTGATACTTGATACTTGATACTTGATACTTGATACTTGATACTTGATACTTGATACTTGATACTTGATACTTGATACTTGATACTTGATACTTGATACTTGATACTTGATACTTGATACTTGATACTTGATACTTGATACTTGATACTTGATACTTGATACTTGATACTTACTTGATACTTGATACTTGATACTTGATACTTGATACTTGATACTTGATACTTGATACTTGATACTTGATACTTGATACTTGATACTTGATACTTGATACTTGATACTTGATACTTGATACTGATACTTGATACTTGATACTTGATACTTGATACTTGATACTTGATACTTGATACTTGATACTTGATACTTGATACTTGATACTTGATACTTGATACTTGATACTTGATACTTGATACTTGATACTTGATACTTGATACTTGATACTTGATACTTGATACTTGATACTTGATACTTGATACTTGATACTTGATACTTGATACTTGATACTTGATACTTGATACTTGATACTTGATACTTGATACTTGATACTTGATACTTGATACTTGATACTTGATACTTGATACTTGATACTTGATACTTGATACTTGATACTTGATACTTGATACTTGATACTTGATACTTGATACTTGATACTTGATACTTGATACTTGATACTTGATACTTGATACTTGATACTTGATACTTGATACTTGATATACTTGATACTTGATACTTGATACTTGATACTTGATACTTGATACTTGATACTTGATACTTGATACTTGATACTTGATACTTGATACTTGATACTTGATACTTGATACTTGATACTTGATACTTGATACTTGATACTTGATACTTGATACTTGATACTTGATACTTGATACTTGATACTTGATACTTGATACTTGATACTTGATACTTGATACTTGATACTTGATACTTGATACTTGATACTTGATACTTGATACTTGATACTTGATACTTGATACTTGATACTTGATACTTGATACTTGATACTTGATACTTGATACTTGATACTTGATACTTGATACTTGATACTTGATACTTGATACTTGATACTTGATACTTGATACTTGATACTTGATACTTGATACTTGATACTTGATACTTGATACTTGATACTTGATACTTGATACTTGATACTTGATACTTGATACTTGATACTTGATACTTGATACTTGATACTTGATACTTGATACTTGATAC